ATTGGATTTGTCACTTTTTCCAGATAATACAATTATAATATTTTAAATACTAATAGAATTAAAAATGGGAATAGAAACTTTTTTATTCAATAATACTTATTGCAAGTCAGTCTTTATGTTTAATTTATAAATCAAGCTCGGCCATGAAGAAAAAATAACGACCTCAAAATTTACGTTAGCTTAGGTAATTAGTTAAGAACTAGACGTACAGTTACTTTAAGTTATTACTCTTTCATTTTCCTCTTATTTTTAAAATATCGTGGTAATTACATTTAATATTAAAAATAATGGTTTTATAAAACATTTACCCTTACCTTAGGATTGTCTTCTGCATCGTAACGGTGCTTTGCAAACATATATTGGACGTTACATGCATTATGTATATCATTAGGTATACAAATATATTATGTACATAAGCTATATGTACATATTTGTGACTTGCGGGATTCAAACATGCACCACTACCATATCTCTAACAATACACATATGCCGCAGCTTAACGTTTGGACAGTGTGCCACTGGGCCCTATCCGTCAAAAATACATATTTTTAAATTTTATAGAAATGATTATTAAAAATAAGTACCAATGTTTGTTTTATATTACGCGTGTGTATGCAAATTGATATTTAAATTAAAACAGGGATGATCATGTTACGAATCATACATACTAATGTTTAAAGTATGTTTGTGTTCAACCATTAATTTACATCAATTTTTGCATTAAGTTTATATCGAAATGAGGCTATTCAGATATTATTTAAATTAAACTTGATGCAAATATGGAATAACTAAACTTATTGGGTCATATGGGCCATAAACAAATTGCCCACATGACAATGCTTCAACAACTTTTTTAAATATAAAAAAGGGTGACCAACGAGCACACATTACACCTGGGTAAGTGGATGCTGTAGCCCATCGGCATCCACTTTACGATACGACTTTATACACGGCCATTTATCGTCGTATTAAGAATTAAAACACTCACCATACGACACACAGTAGCATTGAAATCCTATATTTAGCTGGTATTCTATGGGATCGTGGTCCTTCACCGGTCAAGCCGACCCATTCTTGCTACAACTGTATTAGACCTGAAGTATGGCTCTACCATGTTTTGAACTAAAATAATAACTAATTTCATAAACAAAAAGAGTTGCATAACTATGTACTCTTAAATCAGAATTAATATAAAAGAATATTAGAATATCTATATGTTAATTTTTGTAGTGTTTTTCTATTTTCTAGCATTTAAAAAGGTTAAAGACAACGTGTGATTGTCTCTGACGTTCTTGGCATTATTTATTGATTATAAATTATTTTTAAAACGGAAATAAATAGTGGATGTGTTAATGTGGATAAAGGCATATTGTTTTAAGTTGATAAGAAGGGAAAGGAAATGTCAAAAAATGTTGCTGGCTGTACTTGGCTAAAGGTAAGTTTATATTTTAAGGACATTTATCTATTCGTTGTTAGTTATCACTGGCAACACGCATTGGTTGTACAATCTCGTTTTTAAATTATGAGGCATACCGGACGAAAAGATGTATCGTAATTTCCCGAACGCTGCCCTGCCGAGTTGAATCCTCCGGTTCAACCTCTCGGTCGAAGTTGGACTTACCTATTCGGACTATTTGTCCCAGGTAAACATACTCGTAAACAACTTCTAGCTTGGTGCTCCCAACAACTACCGGCATAGCTGTGACGTGGACGTTACACATGGTCTTCTGTACAATTTGCCGAGCATGTATGTGGTCTATGGTGCTGATGTCTTTTCGGAAACCAGCTTGTTTGGGAGACTGGAAGTCGTCGAGTCTGCGTGCGAGACGATTTGTGATGACTCTCGATAACAGCACGTAGACGCTGCTCGTCGTTGTAGCCTTTCTTTAAGAACAAGCGTTTTTACGTGGTAGAGCCACGCTGCAGCTATATTGGTTGGAGCACGAATGCTCGGCCAGGAGAGGACCACGTTCTCACACAAAACCAGCGTAAAATAGCAGCTTGATAGTGCTGTGTTTCCTGTGGCAAGTGTAGAGATTCGGAGACCCTTTTTTATTGGAAACGAGACATTCCAGCTTATTCCTCAGGGGCAACAACGTATCTGCGTTTTGATTCTTAATCGAGGATAAATGTAGATATCTATGTGCCACAGCATTCACTTACCGTCAGGTGGACTGTGTACATTTTTTGATCAAAATACCAAGATTTCTACAGCAACGAGATTATGTCACTAACTATAAGATGGCAACAAGTTATAGAACAAAATGGCACATATATTATAATTAAATGTAATTAAACTTTGTGAAAAAAATGTCTTGAATTTGTATATAAATTACGAAGAAATTTTTTCCACGACCTATTATATAGAATTTGAATGTCTGTTTATAATATAGAAACTATAACTATTACCAATAATTTTAAATTGTTTTTAATAATTATTTATAATAATACATATATACATAAACACTCACGCCTGTCACCCAGAGGGGAGGCAGAGACTACAGACTTCCATTTGGCACGATCCTGACATACCTCTCTCGCCTCTTCCACATCCATATACCTACGCATACATGTTCGTCGGTTAAGGGTACTCTTAATTTGGCCCATTTTTAGTATATCGCCAATTTGGTCGACAAACTTCCGCCTAGGACGTCCCTTTCCGACTCTTCCATTTACTTCTGCAACATATATTTGTTTTGTCAGTCTTTCCGCATTCATTCTTTCTACATGACCAAACCACCGAAGCATTCCTTTATTAATCTTTCCAATTTCTAAATAAAAATTCCTAAGTAATCCTGGTCTGCTGCATCATCTTGCAAACCACACTCTTCTTTTATCACACAGTTTCTCACCCTGTCACTCAGATGCAGCCCTAACATACTCCTTAGCGACCGCATTTCTACTGCATTTACTCGTATTCTACTCTCGTGCTTCTTCTGCCACACCCATCTTTTACTATCATATGTTAAAGTAGGGACTAATACAGCATTGTGAATTGCCATACGTACCGTTTTTGACACATTCTGACTTTTCACAATAGAGTGTAGAGCCCCATTTACTTTATTTCCTGCATTCACTCTTCGTTCAATATCCTTATCATATCTCCCATCCCTGCTGAATACACATCCCAAATATACGAATTCATTCACTTGCTCAATTAACTCTCCTTCTATTCTTATTTCACATACCGTTTTGCTGTCTTCTCTTTCAAAAACCATCACTTTCGTCTTACTTGCATTCACTTTCATTCCCCTTTCTTTTAATGACCTGTTTATTAATTTTACCATCATTTGCAACTCGGCCGCCGAATGACGCAAGTATGACTTGATCATCGGCGTACAAAAGGCATTTGATCGTTAACTCACCCATTCTTAACCCGCATTCTTCAACTTACAAATTTTCCAAACAACTGTCCATAAGTAGGTTGAACAGCCACGGGGAAGCTATAGAGCCCTGTCTGACACCTTTATGGATGCCTATTATGATTCTGATTTATGATTCTAACACAAGCACTCGAGTCCCAATACAGAGACTTTAATGCCTGTATTAAACCAGCGCTCAACCTAAATGCGTTCAGCGTTTGCCATAACACATCAATGTCCACTCTGTCATAAGCCTTTTCCAAGTCCATGAACGCACAAAAAACTTTTTGGTTTTTCGCCAAAAACTTCTCCGCGATCATGCGCATGGAAAAGACTTGATCTGTACACCCCATTCCCTTTCTAAATCCCGCTTGCACATCCCAAATTTTTTTCATCAGTTTCTTTCATAACTCTTTCAATTAGTACCTTAGCATACAGTTTTCCCACAATACTAAGAAGGCTGATACCACGGTAGTCTTTACAGTCCTGCTGTGACACTTTTCCCTTATATATTAGGACTATCACGGCTTTGCACCAGTCTCCCGGTACCCGCTTTAGTTCCCAACATAAATTAAACAAGATGTACAGCAGGCCTGCCACCACGTCCTCTCCAGCCCTTAGCATTTCGTGTGAAACTCTATCATATCCGGCTGCCTTATCTACTTTCATGCTTTTCGTTGCTTTCATTATTTCATCTATGCTTATCACCCTATCTCTTTCATCTTCTTTCGGAATTTCTATTTCATTTAGTTCACACGTCTCCTCACTCATAAATACGCTTTCAAAATATTCCTTCCATCTCTTCAGACTCAACACTTCATCATTCAGAATACAGCCATTCTCGTCTCGTATCGCATTCAATCTAGGCTGTTTTGAATGTCCCCTGGTATTTATTACGAGTTTCCAGAATATTTTAATATTTGCCAGGAAGTTATCCGATATTCTTCTATCATTCTTATCCGTTCTTTCTTGCTTTTTCCTTTCAACTAATTCTTTTACTCTCTTATTTAGACGTTTAAACTCTGCCTTTTTTCTTTCAATCTCATCTTACTTACCGCCAAAATTACCAGCTTTGGTCGCTAGTAAATCTAGCCATGCTCTCTTCTTTGTTTCAACTTCCATACGTACCTCATCATCCCACCATAACGTATTGTCTTTCCTTTCATTCGCTCTTTTACTAACACCACATACTTCGGTAGCTGCATCCACTAAACCTTTCTTAACATTATGCCACACATTCTCCAAGTCTAACTCATTCACACACAACTCATCCAAATCACTTATATTTTCTCTCAGTCTACATTTGTACTTGTATTTCATCATCATCACTTTCTTCATCTTGTAACCTCTCAATTCATATACCCTGTAACGCAGTGGTAGACATAGATGTCCGATGCCGCCAACGTTTGAATAAACCCCTAATTCGGCATAAGAGAGGTAGTGGTCCGTCCCTAAGCTACGCGCTCCTCATTCCTTCATCCACAGTTATGAAATCTATCATGCTTCTATCATCACCTCTTTCCCGAAGAAAGTGTTCGTCACAAAAAGATTCTTTTCCACACATACGGTGAGAGTGATTTTGTGATGGCCCAATATTATTATTAATAATTAAATTCATAACATAAACACTCACGCCTGTCACCCAGAGGGGTAGGCAGAGACTACGGACTTCCATTTGGCACGATCCTGACATACCTCTTTCGCCTCCTTTACATCCATATATCTACGCATACATGCTCGTCGGTTAAGGGTACTTCTAACGTGGCCCATTTTCAAAATATCGCCAATTTGGTCGATAAACTTTTTCCTAGGGCGTCCCTTCCCGACTCGGCCATTCACATCTGCCATATAAATTTGCTTTGTCACCCTTTCCTCATTCATTCTTTCTACGTGACCAAACCACCGAAGCATTCCTTTCTTAATCCTGGTCACAACATCATCTTGCATACCACATTTATCTCTTATCACGCAATTTCTCACCCTGTCATTCAGATTACACCCTAGCATATTCCTTAAAGACCGCATTTCTACAGCATTTATTCTACTTTCGTGCTTCTTCTGCCATACCCAGCTTTCACTACCATACATTAAAGTAGGGACTAACACAGCATTATGAATTACCATACGTGCCTGTTTTGACAAATTCTGGTTCTTCATAATAGAGTGTAGTGCCCCATTCACTCTATTCCCTGCATTTACTCGTCGTTCTATATCCCTATCATATCTACCATCCCTGCTAAATACACATCCCAAATACACAAACTCATCCACTTGCTCAATCAACTCTCCTTCTATTCTTATTTCACATACCGTTTTGCTTTCTTCTCTTTCAAAAACCATCACTTTCGTCTTACTTGCGTTCACTTTCATTCCCCTTTCTTTTAATTCCCAGTTCATTAATGTAACCATCATTTGCAACTCTGCCGCCGATGACGCAAGTATGACTTGATCATCGGCATACAAAAGGCATTTGACGGTTAACTCGCCCATTCTAAACCCACATTCTTCATCTTTCAAAGTTTGCAAACACCGGTCCATAAATAGGTTGAACAGCCAAGGGGAAGCCACACAGCCCTGTCTGACACCTTTTTGGATGCCAAACCAGTCCGAGTAGACCCCATTGATCCTGACACAAGCACTAGAGTCCCTATAAAGAGACCTTAATGCCTGTATCAAACCAGCGCTCAACCCATATGAGTTCAGTGTTTGCCATAACACATTCCTGTCCACTATGTCATAAGCCTTTTCCAAGTCCATGAACGCACAAAAAACTTTCTGGTTTTTGGCCAAAAACTTCTCCGCAATCATGCGCATGGAAAAGACTTGATCTGTACACCCCATTCCCTTTCTAAAACCCGCTTGCACATCCCAAATTTTTCCATCAGTTTCTTTCATAACTCTTTCAATTAACACCTTAGCATACAGTTTACCCACAATACTAAGCAAGCTGATACCGCGGTAGTTTTTGCAGTCCTGCTGTGACCCTTTTCCTTTATATATTGGTACTATAACTGCTTTACACCAGTCATCCGGTACCCGTTTTAATTCCCAACATAAATTAAACAAGGTGTACAGCAGGCCTGCCACCACTCCCTCTCCAGCCCTTAGCATCTCGAGTGATACTCTATCATATCCAGCTGCCTTACCTGCTTTCATGCTTTTCATTGCTTTCATTATTTCATCTACACTTATCTCCATACCCCTTTCCACTCTTCACTCATAAACACGCTTTCAAAGTATTCCTTCCATCTGTTTAAATTCGAAACTTCATCATTCAGAATACATCCATTCTCGTCTCTTATAGCATTTATTATAGGCTGTTTTGTATTTCCCCTGGCAGTTCTTACGAGTTTCCAGAACATTTTTATGTTAGCCTGGAAATTATCAGATATCCTTCTATCATTCTTATTCGTTCTTTCTTTCTTTTTCCTTTCAACAACTTCTTTCACTCTCTTATTTAGACGTCTAAATTCTGCCTTTTTTCTTTCAATCTCATCATTCATACCAGAAGAATTATCAGCTTTGGTTGCTAGTAAATCTAACCATGCTTTCTTCTTTGATTCAACTTCCACCCGTACCTCATCATCCCACCATAACGTATTACTTTTCCTTTCATTTGTTCTCTTACTTACACCGCATACTTCGGTGGCGGTATCCACCAAACCTTTCTTAATATTATCCCACACAGTATTCAAGTCTAAATCATTCATACACAACTCATTCAAACATCTAATATTTTCTCTGAGTCTACATTTATACTTCTCTATCACATCTTCATCTTGTAACTTCTCTATTCTTATACGCTGTAACGCAGTGGTAAATACAGATGTCCGATGCCGCCAACGCTTGAAAAGACCATTAATTCGATATAAGACCAAGTAATGATCCGTCCCTACGTTGGACCCCCGGTAAACCCTTGTATCTACGACTGCGCTCCTCATTCTTTCATCCACAATTACGAAATCTATCATGCATCTCTCATCACCTCTTTCCCATGTATACATGTGAATCTTCTTATGACGAAAAAAAGTATTCGTCACAAAAAGATTCTTTTCCGCACATACGGTGAGGAGGTCTTCACCATTCTCATTTATACTTTCATCACCAAACGTTCCCAATATCCTTTCATAACCAGACCTCTTCACCCCAACCCTTCCATTAAAGTCTCCTAACATAATAATATTTTCATTTTCGTTACATTTTGTCAACACCATCCTTACCATGTTCCAAAACTGCTCTCGGATATAAGTAGGCTTAGACATGTCTGGGGCTTAGACCCCTAGAACAAACAACTTCTTTAGGCCCACTTTTATTCGTATCCATTGCAGTCTCGGGCTTGCACATTCATACTCTTTCACACATTGACCCATACTTTCTGAAAGGATGAAACCGACACCCTGGCATGCCCGTTCGGTCTCGCCTACACCAGACCAATACGCGGTATACGTGCCATGTGCAGTGGCATCCCTTCCCTTTCGTTTCGTCTCATTCACACATAACACATCTATTCCTCTGTCATTCATCATTTCGCATACTTCATCCATTTTATCATTCATTGCCCCACATACATTCAACGTAGCCAGACGGGCTTCTGCAATCCACTTTTCGCCTCTCTGGGAGACAGAACGTGACGGGTGGCGAACCTCGTCGCCGGTTTTTCTCCCGGAGATTCTTCGCACCCCTGCCCCATTTAAAGGGCGCCGGGAACTCGGGGCCATTTCTTTTATTTCTTGAGTCATGGTGCGAACAAGGGTTGGTGGTAGATTTTACGCCGCTACCATACGGCGAGGAGCCGAGTCTATTTTATCGGCTTTGTCGCTCGTTTAGCACCACCCGGGGGACACGTGTAGGGTGGGCCTAAGGTTAGGTGGTCGAAGCCTACGGACGCGAGCGACTCATCCCCCAATTAATTAAATTCAATATAATATAATACAATACTGCTTTACCGTGGACATCGCACACCCATACCGTTTGTGGGCGATGTCGTAGCGCATAGCGATGCGTCGTCTATCTTTCGGATTGGGATGATGAGTGTGTTTGGTAGCACTTTTAAGTGTAACAGGCATACTCAACTTCATGTCTTAGTGCATTAGCGCTATGATACGTGGAATTTTGTTCACTGGCGTCTTAGTAGCGTGCTACTATGATACGTTGGTGATATTTTTTAGTTAACAACAATACAAACTTTGTTACCAAAGTCGATAGGGATCATTTGGGTGTGTTGTGAGGGGGGCGCCATCCGTATGATAGTTGCATTGATGCTTACTGCTACTTGCGGTATTGCGTCTTGTGATGGATCTGCGGGTGTGCTGCGCCTGATTCGACGCACTCTTGTGGTTCTGTTCGATTGAGGTATGCGGGTGGTGATGTCTGCTGGGATGTATGGGGGACCTTGGGATGGTGTAAGCCCGACGATAGTCGTATTGATGCTTGTTGGTGGGACGCTATTCTCAATGATGCTCTCTGCGTCTTGGATTGACTCACGCCTGAGTCGCTTTGCCCAAGTCGGGTCCCTTCATTACGGGGCTGCAGACTGTCTGCCCTCCATGATGTTTTATATAACAACATAATAATATATCTCTGTAACTTTCCCACCTTTGAATGATTGAAGGCAACTTGTCGGTGGGTGAGACAAACATGATCGAAAATGCATTTACTCAACGTCAGTGACACAAACCCTTTCTGATGGCGAATTATTACTCTTATTTTATAACTGCCTTTTGGCTATATCTGCCGTTGTATTGGTTGGTGGAGCATATGTGTCGACCTCATGCGGGTGGTAGCTGGCGGGAGGATCTGAGGAGACTCTCGAGGCTGCGGCCGAAAGCCGCACAATGTGGGACCCCATTCCCTTGAGGTGAGCGGTAGACTCATGATACGCTCTGCGGCTAGTAGCCGTGCTAATCATGCAATTGGTGGTGATGCCATACACTTACATCAAGTCTACGGGAGCGGCGGTCTGGCAGGTGGTGGCGCTCACGGAGAGTTTACTGCCAGTGTGCCTATTTGCCTAAACCGTGTGACGTACATTCACTGTGGCTGGATTCGTTCGTATTCTGTATGGCGTTTACACGCATTGACATGCGCGACTTCGGTCGATGTTTGTGCTTACGCACTAACAAGGGGCCAAGCCTCTTTTACTGGTTCGCCAGTTATTTTGCTGTGGACTACGGTCCAGTTCCCGAATTAGCGTTCCCTTCGGGGGGAGTGCATCAAAATGGTTGGCGCTCACCGTGCACGACGTGTGTGGAGCCGTGTGCCTCCCCTACATTTTTTTAAATAAATGTAGGAGAGCGAAGCCCTTGTATCGGGTATTTTGTATAAATATTTTGTGAGCCTTTTCCAAGCGGGAAGGGATAATTAATAATAAATTAATAATGTAAATCTGATACAAGTGGAATAGGATATTTTATGTTCTTAACATTTCTCGAGCCCTGTCTTCGTGAACGGGGATCACTTAACTTATAAGGCACTACCAACAGCTTTCAATTGCTCTAGTGAATATTCATTCTTCCAAAAGACACCTAAAAGAACTAAGTTGCTAAGCAAATACAACGTAAATAAGGGTCCTAACTAAGACGATCACGCCAAAATATTACAAACGGCCTATTATTAAACCTTTTGAAAGATCATTTAGTAAGATCAAAACATATCTTATTTATCCCGGTCACATATATATAATTTTATTGAAGAGGGGCAAATTAATTATATATAATATAATATTATTTTTATATAGAGGAGAGGGGGGAAGCGTTACACTTTCATCACCAAACGTTCCCGGTATCCTTTCATAGCCAAGCCTCCTCACCCCAACCCTTCCATTAAAATCTCCTAACATAACAATATTTTCATTTTCCTTACAATTCATTAACACCATCCTTACCATCTCCCAAAACTGCTCTCGGATATAAGTAGGCTTAGACATGTCTGGGGCTTAGACCCCTAGAACAAACAACTTCTTTAGGCCCACTTTTATTCGTATCCATTGCAGTCTCGGGCTTGCACATTCATACTCTTTCACACATTGACCCATACTTTCTGAAAGGATGATACCGACTCCCTGGCATGCTCGCTCGGTCTCGTCTACACCGGACCAGTACGCGGAATATATGCCACATGTAGTGACATCCTTTCCTTTCTGCTTCGTCTCATTTACACATAATACATCTATTCCTCTATCATACATCATATCGCATACTTCATCCATCTTATCATTCATTGCTCCACATACATTCAGCGTAGCTAGTTTTATTAATTTTTGGTTAGTATTATAGTAATTATTTATAAATAACTATTATATATTTGTATATGTTTTATATACAGATATTTATATTTATTTTATATATATGTATATATTAAATAATGGTTCGCTTAAATATAAGCCATATTTAAGCGAACACTGCTCGTTTAAATAAAACTAGTTGTGACGGATTTGATCACGTATAATAACTTTTTTATATTCCCAACCTTTCGAGCACTTTACAGCACCC